GCGTAATTCTACGACTCCGTGCGCGGCGGTTCGGCGCGCGCCTCCTTTCGTGACTCGTTGTCGCGCGCGTACGAATGACCAACTTTGTGCACCGCGACCAGGTGGTCTTCACGCATGCGTGCAGCCTCCATGACCTCCCGCAAGTTCCTTGACCCTCTCGAGTCTAACCTCTATGGCAAGATCCAATAAGGCCCCCAACGAACGCGTCTATGAGTGCTCGCTCCGGCCAACCGCGTACATGACTAGCTAGGCGTTCAAACTCTTTTCGGTAGTCCCTTAGGCTGCCCGTTTGCCTAAATCGTGTCAAGGCCTCGTCAAAATCATAATAATTGGACGATCCAAACCTCGTGATCAGCTCTTTTCGAATTGCCTCCAATTTAGTCGCTTGCCTTTTTTCCATAAACGTGCGAGATCCATCGCCACCATGTATTCGCTTCTCCATCAAGATAATACGCGGCGTACTTTATGCGTTCGGCCTTAAGAATCTCGTTGAGGTTGAAATATTGGGTAGCTCGGCTCAACCAAGCATCTGGATCCTCTCCTTGAACGTGGAAAGAACAAGCTTCGGTTTTTCAAACCGCGGGTCCCTATGTCGACGGGAACCCCTTGACCCTCGTGACTGGTGGTCCGTCTCGCCTTCATCCTCGCGGTCCTTGTCTTCCAAAGGTGAATAATCCTCCAACAGGACTTAGGCCCTCTCTACGGTCGTTGATCACGACGTGCAAGCTCTGCAATCTCCGCGGCTAAGGATTGAATTGACTCGAACAATGCTTGCTCGAGCTTCGCCAATTGGTGGTTCGTGGCATGTTGATTATCTTGCATGGTCTTCATGTCCGCCTTTAGGGATTGCACGTCTTTGATTATGGTATTCAACCCCATCTCCAATTGCTCAATCCTTTCCTTATGCGTATTTGTCCTGTTTTCTCTCCCCTCTTTTTTCCTCTCCGTTTTTTCTATATATATATATATATATGTTATATTTTTTTTTTAATTACATCACGAACTGAACTGAACCTNAAATCAACCGAAATAATTTTTTTTACGAACTATAAACTAAGAGCTAAAAAATACACGATCAACCTCTCAATGAATGCACCGATGGTGAGAAAAGTGTCTGCACGCGCCTCGTCCATTTCGCGCTTGCAAATAAGTTTGCTCAGGTCAAAAGTGTTCGTCTTGCCCTGTCCGCCTGCGCGCCGTCTTGCGCTGGTTCGGTCGGTCGTCCCGTCCCAGCGCTGCTGCTCTGGGTCGTCTCGCACCTAGTGCTGCGGGTCTTGGCAGCGACCCAGGTCTCTCTCTTGCGTCCATGTCAGTCCCGGTCATAGGTGTTTGAAGGCGCGGAACCCACATTCGCATCACACGCACTCGCTGCGTTGCCGGACCTGCACAGTGGGCATGTCGCCGTCGTGGAACGACCTCGATTTCGGCCAAACCCTAGTATCTAGGACACCAATTACCACATTACGGGAAGAATGATAACTCCTGTAGGCTGTGCCCGACCCCCTTAAACTTGTCGCTCGTCGAGACTCTTCTCGACCCTAGTGGTTGCACCTTCTTCTACCCCTAAATTTAGGGTTAGGGTATATAAGAAATTAACTCCTGTAGAATGATAACTCCTGTAGGCTGTGCCCGACCCCCTTAAACTTGTCGCTCGTCGAGACTCTTCTCGACCCTAGTGGTTGCACCTTCTTCTACCCCTAAATTTAGGGTTAGGGTATATAAGAAATTAATTTGGGGATTTTGGGCAATTTTTAAACTTGGAGGACCAAGTATTTTTTGGTTTTTAACACGTCATTTGACATATATCATGTCAGCGAGAAATGTAGTCCACGTAGGATCAAATGCCAGACATGCTGGCCAAAAACTCGTCGCCAACAGGGTTCGGGTTCAAGTTGAAATTTCTATACAAGGTTGTGATTTTTTTGCTAATTTTTAAAATTTTGGTTAAAATTACCAAAAAGTGTAAAGTCGTGATATTGCCCACAATTAGGCCTTGTGTTTGAATAATTCATTTTGATCCCTTTGCCCTCTAAAGCCTATACATGTTAGAGAAAAATTGCATGTGTAAAATCGTGATATTATCGACAATTAGGCCTTGTGTTTGTATAATTCATTTTGATCCCTTTGCCCTCTAAAGCCTATTCATGTTAGAAAAAAATTGTTACAAGTTGAGGAAGAGACGTCAAAGGGGCTTTTGGCTCCAAAAAAAAAAAAGTTGATTTGCAAATGCATGTTACATTTTCTAGACAAAAGTTCACATATATTTGAATGTCATGAGCCAACGTATTTTATATGCATAAGTGAAACATATACACTAAACAGACGTACAATACAAAAAAAATGTTATATTCCAACGAAAAATCCTATGGTAATATATTTCAATGGAAATTCCAACGGATATTCTAATGGTATAGCTTCTGTTGGAATTATTTCAACGAAAATTCCAACAAAAATATTCAATTGGAATGTACTACCTCCTATTCTTTTTAAATGTCATTTTGGTTTTATTAACTATTAACAAAATAAATGTCGTTTTAGATCTTTTGTACATATTTTTCCACTATTACTCTCATTTAGCTAATAAATACACCACGTCTTTTCGTATTCACTCTTCATTTTTTTCAAAAACATCATTCTCTATCTTCATTAAAGAGAGTTATTATTGGCAATAAAATATTCTTAATTACTGTACAACTTTTTAAAACGACAGGAGGGAGTATTTTTCATTGAAATTTTAGATGGAATTTGATGATTCCAACGGTTATATTTCCAACGGTTTTTCACCGTAGGAATTTCCGTTGGAATATGCAATTTCCTTTGGAATTTTTATTTCCACCACCGTTGAAAAATCTACCGTTGGAATTGTCAAAATCCAACGAAAATTCCAACTGAAAACTCATTCCAACGGAATACTTTCGTAGGAATTTCCGTTGGAATAATTCCAACAGAAATAATACTATTGAAATATCCATTGGAATTGCCGTTAAAATTTTATTAGAATACTAGTGTGTATCCCGTGCGCTGCACGGAGGGGTTTTTACATAAAACCTTTTCTAAGACTTTATATTATACATAGTTATTTATGTTTAACATCTTATTATTATAGAAAAAGAAATACTAAATATGAAAAATTATATATTATTTATTTGAATATAATGAGTGTCCCAACCAAACTAATAACATCCAACATATGATATATGATAAAATTAATTATATGATCGTCATACTTTTTGAAAAAATATACATATATTTCTAATAAACATGTAAGATCCGCATTTAAATTTGTATTTGGATATGGGATGAAAAATGAATATGTACAAATAAAAAAGTACCAAGAACCTACATAAAATGAGATTCTTTATAAACTTTAAAATATTTTGTAGTTAAGCAAATATTAACAAACAAAATCATCAATTAAGTTGAACTTATCGAATATAAAATATAATTTATGATATCATTGACCATATTTACCCGTTGTATTTAAAGTTATCATTGACCATATTTTTATGAATTAAGGTTTACAAAATATCTTTTTCAAAATAACAATTTTTTTTAATTTGAATTTGACTTTTTCATCCAACCGCCATTTTCCACAAGAATAAAAATAGTATTTTGGAAAATTTTAGACGTGAAAATCAAATAAAATTAATTTAATAGTAATCGATTAATTTAATATTATTCAAAATTGTTTAATTCGGTCAACCCGATCTTAGTGCACGTTTCATTGAAACAATCGCTTACCCAAAAAAAAGGTAATCGCTTACAAAAAAAGGAAGTGAAATCTATCTATATAATATAAATCGGATTTGAAAAAAAAAAGGAAATGAAATTTCATAATTAATTAATTTAAATTGATGTTATCCGATTTATATCAACTCCCTTCCAAAAAAAAAGGAAATATCCGATTCCTACCAAATCGATTAAAAAAAAAGGATTATGATATACGTCCAAATAAATTACAATTGAAATGTAGGCGGGATTATGAAAAAAAAATAAAAAAAACTTTACCGAATGTTTGAAAAAAAAAATCGGATTAAAAAAAATTAAAAGGAAAAAATTCAAAACGTGAAATTAAAATTAAAAACGTGAATTAAAATTAAAAAAATTAAAAATACAAAATTTACCAAATCTCAACCCATAAAAAAAAAGGAAAATCGAGTGAAATAAAACGGGAAAAAAAAAGGAAAAGCGAGTGAATTAAAAATGTACCAAATCGGATTTTAAAAAAATGGTAACAAATCTCATCTCATCCTAAAGAAAAGGAATTATAACAAATTTAACAAAAAAACAACCAAATCTTATCCTAAAATAAAACAATCCGATTTCCATAAATCACATCCAAAATCAAATTAAGTTAGGCGGGATAAATGAAAAAAATTCAAAAAGAGTTTCCAAAACAGGTAATTTTCGAAAAATTTGAGAGGGAAAAAATGATGTTTAAGCGGGAAATGAAATATTTATTCAAACATTTTTCCTTCTCCGTATTATATAGTAATAGATATGAGGATCGACAAAGTTGAGTCGACTGAACAAACGAAGCGAAGCGAGGACTTCACTTCGCTTCGAAAAGTTTGTTGGGTTCCAAACCTTAACAGGCGTATTCCACTGCCGTAGGGACGAAGGAGAGACTAAAGCAAATCTCCTGAGCGAGAACGGGAAGGCCGGAACAAGCAAGCCCTTACTCCTTGGTATTTGGCGCTGAGGCCGTGCTACCGTTGGTAATTTGAATAACCAAACAGCAGCAATCACTGTTGAAATTTCCGGGTGTTTAAGCCACATATCTTGAAATCGAAAAGGCCTAGGATGATCTTAGCATTTATGTACCAGGAAAGTACTTCTCTAGTTATTATTATTAAATAATCTCAAAACCATTCCAAAAGAACTGCACAAAAATGGCATTATTAATCTGGAAAAATGGTCACAGGTAAATTGATCAATCAGTAAAGCTTTAAAAATTCAAAAAATAAATAATAATAATAATAATAATAAGAAAAATGAAGCCCGGTTTGACGCCCATCTTCAAATCCTAGCTCAGCATTACTAAAGAGGTCGTATATAGTAAAAAACCCAACCGGAGCCGTGAAAGTTCGACATTTATAATTACAATGCCACAGAGGTTAAAACTCGAAACAATGCATATGTGTGTCTTGCATCTAACAAAACTATATAATAATTAAGTCGAAAAAGCCCGTTTATTAGAATCTACAGCATAAAAGGCCCGATCGCCAAAACCTGGGTTTCCTTAAATGCCTCCCGTCCGCTTTCGTCATTCTAACCGGGCTACTCGCCCATTCCGTCTGTAATCTGCAAATGCAAAAATGTATTTGCACCAAAACCCATCAATCAGGGGAAAATTGCGTAAACCACCAGAGAAATTAGCCTAATTACGAAACATCCTTTTATTTTGTTTTGTATTGTGTGTGAAAATTTAAGGGGCTAACTGTAAATGGCTGTGATTTAGCTTCTTTTTTACTTACATTGGGAAAGCAAAAGATCTGCCACTGGCTGCACTGCCGTCCGATCGAAAAGAGATGCTTCCGGAAAACGGTATCAGCCCCGACTGAGGGGCAAAACCGTCATTTGAAAAGCTCGATTCGTAATCATGTTCGGTTTTTTCTTGGTCCACAACTGGCTCATTACCATCGATAATAACTCCATTTTCGACTTTTAAGGATTCTTCATGTCCCTCTTGAATGGAATCTGAAGTGCCGTAAAAATTTGAATTTTTACGGCCCTGCACGTTTGATATGCCAGCTGTCGTCTCCTCAGACAATGGGGGATCGAAATCGAAAGTAATGCTCTTGCTTTCGATTTTACTGTTGTAGGGTAAAATGCTCGTTTGCACGTTTTCCTTTAGAGTGACCTTCTGGACCAAAAAACAGCAATCCATATAATGCCCTCATATCATGTATTTACCACTAATATAGCTAATAATACAAAGTGGTAAAAAGTNAAAAAAAAAAAAAAACCTGATCATGCGAGAATCGTTCGCCTTTATTATTCCCTTCACTGTCTAAAGAACTAATAAACGACCTAAGAAAACTCCTTGTGCCGAATTCTTGAATCGGAAGTGCTCGTTCGACAAATGAATTATTTTGATCAGCCGAACAATTGCTAAGAGTCTTGTCGGTTTCAACACGATTTGTCTCAACTTTCGGCATTAATTCATCAACAGAATAACTTTCGCATGACAATTTTGCCCTCCCATGCTCATTATTCAGTGACGACAAATTTGATTCATCAGATGCAACATTTTCCGCGTCATTAGCTTCTGCATTAGCCACACGAGAGCTATTTGCCTCGAGAGGGGAGGGGCAAAATCGTCCGGGCGGCTCATTTTCGTTAATTTCGATTGTTTTTTTCTCATCCATGCAAATGTCCTTCACAGCGTGAAAGTTGATCTCCTTGTAGCAAACGATTAACTCGGACAAAACCAAATCTTCGACTTCTTCATTTTTGTTGAAATTCGAGGAGTCTTCTTCAGCAGCCGTCGTCAGATTTTCGTTTGAATCTGAAGGGTAAAATGGTCCATTTCGAAATTCATTTATGGTTACATTTTGGGGTCCGTTTTGAATTTCCGAAGGGAATTCATCCACGAATTTTGGGTTCCAACTTTCATAATTTCCCTTTTCCTCAAATTGTAAGATATCAGTTTCCTTTTGTATGCCGTCTAACGGGTAGACTTCTTTACCGCCAAAATTAGATTCGAAAAGCGTTGAACTCAGATTTTCTTTCATGGTTGCATCTTGTTCGGAGGAAACACTGTCAGAAAAAAAGAATCATCTTTACCGATCAAAACTGAATTACAACTTACGACGGAAAATAATGTGCGAGAAAAAATAAAATAAAAATAAAAACAGAGAAAAAGAACGAAAAACGTATCTAATTTAACTGCAGAGCAACTTCTTAATGAAAGTAAAAGTGCATAAAACATAAGCATATGCATAATAACACTTAACACATACTGTAATACTGATTATACAAGATTTTGCAAGACATTAAACAAACTCAAGGTAAGTTTTACCAGGTGTTATACTTCACATCATCACTTGGGATGGTTTGAAGAATCCTCAACAGTTGTGAAGCAAACATTCACTAGATGAGCATAAACTGCCAAAAAAAAAGAAAAAAAAAAGAAAGAAAAAGAAAAGAAAAGAAACTAAGTAACTAACACCCACTAGAAAGAAATAAGGAAAAAGAGTTAGGTTAGGACTGGCAAATAATCACCAAAATAAGTTCAAAGGTCTGAATTTGAAGCAAATGAAATGTACCATTTTAAATCAAAAATCAATTAAAAAAATCAAAACATAGGCTTTCTCGAATCATAAAACTCAACCACGAAAACCCATCAAAATAAGCATTCTTTATTTAATTCATACGTGCATACAACAAAGGTGACCAAGATATCAATTGATAAAAGTCAACACTTTTTAAAGTAATGCAGAAAGTCTTGATCTTAATTGAACTTTCCAGCCAAACCCACTAGTCTTCATGTTGACTTTGGGTT